AGGATCAATGAGAATAGGAGGCAATTCAGATCCTAAATATCCAGATGTTCTGAGCTCCTGTGGGAAGGAAAAGGTGAGTACAGTCCTTTTGAAAGTTCACTTACATTTCTTCCCCTCTCATTGAGCTGATACAGCTGCTTCTCCATGGTTTGAATAGCTTCCCCACTTCCTCCTTTCCCACCAGTCAGTGATAGGAGCAGCCCCACTACAGGGCTTGACAACTGCTAGGTGGTGGGAGATTCTACACATATAGAATCTTGGCCTATAACTCCTTCTTTGCACATGCCAGTTTGTGTATGACAGAATGTAAATTTTACAGTCACACTGAAATGAGGATTAAAGAGATGAGGCAGATAGAATCAGAGCGTACTAGCACAGAGGACTCTGTACTTTCAAGTAATGAACCAGAGCTAGCTTCTGACTGGGACTGGCATTCTTCATGTCCCTTCTGTTGTGGTAGGTAACTGCCTTCATGTTGATCTTGACCCATGGCAACCCTGCTGATGAGATGCCTTTGTTTAATGAAAGGAAACTTCCATACAACTCCATACTTCATATTTGTTATATTAGTAGAAGGTGCTAAAGGCAACATATGTAGTTCTCTCTCCACCCTTCACCATTTTTCATTATGAGAACCATATGAGGTAGGTTAGGCTGGAGATGGTAACTGATTCAAGCCTACCTGTGAGCTTTATGTCACAGTAAAGATTTGAACCTAGGTCTTCCCCATCCTAGCACAACTCTAATAAAGGGTTGGGGAATAGGTGGGTCTTCAGATATTGTGGGCAGCACCTCCTGTTATTTCTCACCATTAGCTGGGATATTTTAACTCAAAGCATTTAGAATGTCATATGTTCCCCAGCCCTAATCTCTCTACTACACTACATGGTTTTCATGGTCATAGTTATGAAATAGGTATTTGCTAGAGCTGCCAATAGAGGGTTGGTCTAGAAAATGAGATCCTGCATTGCATTATATCAAGTTAAACTTGAGAAAGCGAGATTTGCATTACTCTTTGAGGGCTCAAAGAATCAGTGTAAAAGGAAGATGTTCAACACCCAATATTCTTTATCTGTTGGTCTGATGACTGAATCACTTGAAGATGGAAATAGTCAGGTATATTTAATATTTTTGGTCCACAATATTTCATTTTCATAGTGAAATCACAGCATTCATAACAAAAAGGACTTAGCCCTAGAAAGCATTTGAGTGCAGGGAGAGGATGAACTTGATTTGATAAGGTATGAAGTTCAAGATGTGGTTGCTTTTTCTTGGCTTTCTTTTCATTATCAGTTTGAAATTATGCTTAATTTAAAAAACAAAGATCTGTTTTGGGTAGTACTTACAATTTCAAATGTACATTGTATCTCATTCATGTTTGGGCTTGATCTGGAACAGTCTTAATCCCTAGACTTTTGTGTTTAAGTGAGTTAGGAGGGTGGATAGGTGAAACTTTTATAATGATCACTCTGCTTAAGCTGCATTCTAGGTACAAATCCCAGTTTCACAGTGGCTATAGGAATCTCATTGCCTTTCAGCCTCATTTCCTTAGTCTGTAAAATGGGTATAAGTAGTTACCTGTTCATATTTTTAAGGCAATGCATTTTCTAGTGATCTTATGTGGTCACTTATGATATGTAGCTACTTGACATGAGTCTTGGGAACACAGTAGGCTATACAACAGGCAGAACACTCCTAAGGTGCTTGGAGAGAGTGGTGAGGGATCCATGGTGGAGGACATAAGAAGAGCCATGCTGGATCAGACTGAAGACATACCTAGTCCAACACTGTGCACTGTTGCCTGTGAGGAACCTGTCTGCAGGTCATAAACACACTAGCACTCTCCTGCTTGTGTTTCCTAGCAACTGAACTACAGAAGTATATAGTACTTCTGATGCTGAATACATAGCCATCCTGATACATAGCCATGGATGGCAATTTCCTTGGCTGTGCTGGTGGGGAGCTGATTCCCACCATCTTCCTCAGTGCCTTTTGTGTTGCATTTTTTTTTCTTCCCGCTCCAAAATCCATATGGCAACTCCAAGGGTAATCATTTCCCAAACCTTTGGGAACATGTTGAGGAATGAGAGGCTTTAGATTCATTACCTGTCTGAATCAGCCTCTACATGTCTTCTTCCCCCCTGCAACTGGAACACTAACACCAACAAGAGGAGTGATGGTGGTGGAGGCTTCCACTGGTATGGTGGAGGTTTCTGGCAGCAAGCAGAGAAGGAGGTCTGCAAAGAAGGAGGTCTAATATCTATGGGATGGCCTCCCAGAGCCAATAGGCTGGCATTCTAGATCATTTTTTTTAAAAAAACAAAACAGAGAAAACAGCCATGGAAATTTTATTTATTTTTCAAGTAGAAAGCAATTAAGTAGACTTTATAAGTCTTATGGAATATCTGACTCTTCTACCAAAAATGGTGCTCCCTTAAAGTAATGCATTATTCTCTTCTAGAAGACATGGCACTCCTCTAGAATAAAGTATTATTCTTAAGGGGATAAAGGTAAAGGTATTCCCTACTGACAAAATTGTCAAGTTGTGTCCGACCATAGGGACAGTGCTCATCTCTGTTACTAAGCCGAAGAGCCAGCATTGTCAGAGACTGCTCTGTGATCATGTGGCCAACATGATTGCACAGAATGCTTACCTTCCAACCGAAATGGTACCTATTAATCTACTTGCATTGCATGCTTTTGAATTGCTAGGTTGGCAGAAGCTGGGACTAGTGACAGGAGCTCACCCCATTATGTAGCATCCAGGCCTTAAGGGGATGGATAGAAATAAATGAGATCCTTTGTAACTTTATAATTGGGAACTATGGAGTGTGAAGCTCTGGATTTAGTACAGTGTATTTTCACTGGTGAACTTCTGTTTTAAACCAAACCTCAATGAAGATCTTACAACTCCCCATCTCCCCCCCCCCCCCCCCCCTTTCAGTTCTTTAATTCCTTTCCACATCAGCAGATGAAGTCAGCCCTGGGTGTTCCTTGTGTTTCCTTAAATACCAGGAAGACGACAAAAGATATTTAAAACAGCACATGCTTTTGTGCTTGATGACTCTGGGAGAGAAACATACCAAAAAATATGCCCCTTTTCTAGGATGCATCAGCTCTTACACCTTCCTGGAAAATGCCAAAGGACAAAATAATAATTTAAAAAAATCTAAGAATGCAAAATAATACCCACCCTCCTTTACACAATGAAAGAATACTTCTCTGTCACTTTCCACATCATCTGAAAATTTCCAGAGTTTAAAAGCATTTGTGAAGGGAGGGGAGAGCTATCATGAGAGCTATCTGGAGGTTCCCCCCCCACACACACACACCAACAAAGCGAAGTTCTTCCCTTCCCACTCCCTTCACTTTCCTTTTTTTTTAAAAAGGAGAGAGAGAGAGAGAGAGTTTTGAGAATTTTACTTTTCTATTCACTGCAGTCCTGGCCAAAGTAAAGCCCTCTTTTACATTGACGTCAAGATCTTTACTAAGATTAGGGTTTCATTTCTCTATTGCAGCAATTAGCCAGGGAATGTATAAAAGGCTTGAGGGAACCAAGCTAGGACTCCAGAGGGAAAGCACTTCATACCACAGGCAGATAGTGAGAGGGGGAGAGTGAAAGAAAGAGTGGCAGAGGAGAGACTGAGAAGGGAATGAAGGAGAGAAGAGCAGAAAGTTTATGTACCAAAACTTTCTGCCCCCTTCCCCCCTTACAAAAAAAGTATTGTTTCACCTGATAGCTTTGGTGATAAAGGAATGAGGGAGTTGCTTAGTGCTTCAGTAGCTCAGAGTTAGAGGAAAGTTAGTAATTCTGCTTCAGTTTTAGAACTGCAGGCAATTGGCAGCCTAGCCGCCTCTCAAACAGACTTGAAAAGAGCTACTGACTAAGGAAGAACAACAACAGGAGTTTGACTTAGAGTTTCTGAAAAATTAAAAGCAGTTCAGGGTGGAAAGATTTTCATGCTGGCATTTTGAGTGATGCTTTTTTAAGCAGCTTTGGCTACACTGAGACAACTTTCTGGGAGAGGAGACAGGGGCACAATGGGTCTTTAAGAAGCACCTTGTGATTTTCCCCCTCTCATCATCATCATCATCATTATAATCATCATCATCATTTATTTTTATGACGGTACAGGACATGACAAAGGAACTCAAGGGAAGCTACTGAAGAGCAGCAGCAGCAGCAGCAGCAGCAGCAGCAGCAGCAGCAGCAGCAGCAGCAGCAAGCAAGATGGGTCTGTTAAGTGTGGACCTATTGATCACATTGCAGATCCTGCCTGTTTTTTTCTCCAACTGCCTCTTCCTTGCACTCTATGACTCGGTGGTCCTCTTGAAGCACATGGTGCTTCTCCTGAGTCGCTCCAAGGCTGCACGTGGCGAGTGGCGAAGGATGCTCACCTCAGAGGGGCTGCGCTGCGTCTGGAACAGCTTCCTCCTAGATGCCTACAAACAGGTGGGTTTGTGGCACTGGGTGAAATGGGGTGTTGGGAACCAAGGTCTGACTGCAGACATTAATTTCTACTGCTTAGGATAAGCTATTTATAAACTTTTCCAGAACACGAAGCAGTTAAATATCATGATCTGACATACTTGCCACAGAAAGTGTCCGGACCAGGATCAGAACTCTGATTCCTGCCTCTAGGTCTGGGTTTTACTTAATCAAATATATGTTTTTGTTAAGATTGTTTTTTAAGAAAAAAATGTATAAGTTTATTTATTCTGTGCAAACTTGTATGATAAGAATGATTTCTGTATCACCTACCTTCCTGCCATTCAGTTGCTCTGCATTCTCTTTGTATAGTTTAACTGTTAAAAATGATAACCTATTTATTGCCTCGTTTTTCTGTACCACAAAAGGATATTGTTGTAGTTGTGTGCCTTCAAGTTGTTTCTACTTATGACAACCCTAAGGCAAACCTTTCACAGAGTTTTCTTGGCAATATTTGTTCAGATGGGGCTGAGAGAGTGTGAGTTGCCCCAGGTGATCTAGTGGGTTTTCATGGCTGAGCAGGGATTCGAAACCTGGTCTTCAGAATCATAATCCAATGCTCAAACCACTACACCACCAGATCCATAATGTATATATACATTAAGTACATAAATGCTGAATTCCTGCATGTCTTTTACATTACAAAAATAGCAGAATTTATGTAGGTGTAAATACAAATGAGGTGGCTGTTTGAATATGCAAGCATGTGTTTTACCCCCACAATAATTAAAAACAGTTAGTTCACCAGTCATAAGAAAACAATATTTTACTGGTAGTGTAATGTGCCCTATGGTAGAATAATAGTTTTTCATTCTTCCCCTTTTGCTGATGAGAGCAGTGAAGTGGTCAAGACGACTTTCTAGCATGAGGGTATCACACATGCTCCACATGACAAGGCTGACACTCCCTTTTGGGAATACAAAGGTTTGGAGAAGAGTTAGAGGCTTTCAATACGCTGTTAGTAAATTGATTGGATGATCTTTTCAAAGAGCTTTATTTGCAGGAACTCTCCTTCTTAACTTCAGCACCTTCATTAGGGCAAATGAGGACTAAGTTATTAGATTCTGAAGCAGAACACTATGAAAATTCAAATGACACACCTTTTCTTACCTAAGTTTTTTGTTAACAGCTTGATGTTTCCACAGTTTCTATTAATAGGTTCACTAATACAGTAAGGGGAAGAGCTAGGCTTGTATTGGCTTATGCAACAGCAACAACAGATCCTTAAGTTCTTAAATATTTATTAAAAGTGATCCTTTTTGCATTCTATATATGCAGTATAAGTACTTTTCTTATGCTGCACAGTGGCCAATTCATTCTATAGCCAAAGTTGGGTGCAAATTTCTCAGTTTTTGAAAGGCTAAGGCCTTTTGTTTTGGAAATTGTGAGAATTTTGGATACAAAAGTTAATTTGTCACTGTGCTGTATAGTGAAGAGACTTGTGTTACAAGCCAACCCTTTTCAATAAGTTAAGTTAGAATATGCATGATTCTCATTCTTGTCAAACACAATGTCAATGTCTTGCATATGAAAGTATGTGGTACTGTAATAACTGTCAGGACATTGGTTATTAAAAAATGCTGTACAATCTAGCGGGTCTTGTGACATAGTTTTCCCCAGTCTTCCTCCAGATGTGTTGGTTTACAGCTCCCATCATCTCTAGCCATTTTCCATATTACCTGTGGATTTTGCAGTTTGAAGAACAGCACACCCAGAAGGCACCAAGTTATGAAACACTATGTGAACTATGCTCTTCTGAGAAATCCTCTGCACCATGGAGAGCTCCCATGGTAAAATCAGGGTTGGGTACCCAGGGATAATTTTTACATAAAATGCTTCTCACACCAGCGGGAAAATTGCCATTGACTTACTAGAGCTTACAGGACATTATTGACATTTGAATGCCCAAATCACATCCTATAAAAGTATAATTTTAGTTGACTGAATGTTTTGAAAGTGGTCTGATATTCAGAATGTTATTGAAGTATGAAGATACCAGCATAAAATCTTTGAAATTACTACATAACTCTTCTGGCAACGTTGCAGGACAAAAACCTATCTGGGCTGAATTTTCCATTGCAAAATTTACACAAAAAATACCATAAGGGCACTAGATCTTGTTTGATCTGCAAAGCTAAGCAGTATTAGCCTTGGTTAAAACTTGGATGGGAGACTGCCAAGGAATATCAGTTGCTGTGGGCTATATTTCAGAGGAAGGAATGGGTAAAACCACTTCTGAGTACTCCTTGCCTAAGAAATCTTATAAAATTCATGTCAACCAAAAGTCAACAGGCAACATGAAAGCGAATACACACAGACCATAAACGTAGTTCATTTAGGATATTGTTACCTTTAAGCATTGGTACTTTTTCTGTAATGAAAAATTATCAGAACACAAAGTATTTCCTTAAATCAGTTGATTTGTTTCTTCCACTAGCTGTTTTCCTTTTGTTGTAACTACTGTAAAATATTGGGAGTTTTTTAAATTACTCATAGGGGTCTTCAAACAAAACTAGTCCAGGGAAGCAGAATTAAGTGCCCCTTTGACATCATATGTGTGGATTTGGAAGATTTTTACTATCCTAAACAGCATTGGCTGGGTACTAAAATCACATACCTGAAAACATTTGTATAAGTAATTTTTTGTTATTTTAATAGGTATATTCACAAGATCACTTTGGAGTAGTTAAAAAAATCATAACTACTTAATGTATTACTTAGAAAAGCATTGCAGTTGCTTTACTAGGATAGCCAATGGCACAGTTTCAATAATTTCCTGGTCCAGAATGGTTAATAAAGTTTGGATGATGATAAGCATTATATTTTATTTAACTTTTTAAAAATATAATTGTCTTATACTTTGCAACTATAATGGTTTTGAAGTGATTCACAATTATAAACTCATAAATGTACAGGGAAATGATGGTGTTATGTCAGTTATGAACAGTTATAGGCATTGTTTTGTGGAGATGCTGGGGATTGTAGACTGGGGGTGCCTCTACACTTTAGAATTGATATAGTTTGATACAATTTTAAGTGTTGTTGTTCCAGCCTATGGAATCCTGGAATTTGCAGTTTTACAAGGTCTTTAGCCTTCTCTGTCAAATAGGTGTCTCACAAAACTACAAATCCCAGGATGTAGGATGGAGCCATGGCAGTAAAAGTGGTGTAAGGGTAGCTGGAGCAAATTTGTTTTCTGCAGCTCCAGAGAATAGAACCCAGAGCAATGGATTCAGACTACAGTAAAAGTGATTCCACCTCAACATTAGGAAGAACTTCCTGATGCTAAGAGCTGCTGGACAGGGGAATACACTGCCTCAGAATGTGGTAGAGTCTCCTTTTGAAGTTTTTAAACAGAGGCTGGATGGCTATCTGTTGGGGGTGCTTTGATTGTGTATTCCTGCAAGGCAGAAGGTTGGACTTGATGACCCTTGAGGTCTCTTCCAATTCTGTGTTTCTGTGATTCTATGACCCTAGGTGAGGAAAGGTTGGAAAAGATGAACTGGGAACTCCACACTTATTTTGTTGCAGATCTTGTTCAAAATTTCTGAATATTTTTACTCTGTTGGTCTGAGAGAAATAAGCCTCTTATTTAAGCTCTCTGTCTTTGGAAAGCCAAGTACTATTACTGATATTAAACAATTAAGGCATGTAACTCCTGGCTTTTTTCACCTCCAAGGTAGTAGCAGTAAGGGGGGAGCATACATTCTTTGGGGCCCTTTCACCATACGGTATTGTTGCTGAAGCTACTGCTCTGAGGAAATATGCCTCTGACACTATTACTCTGAGGAAATATGTACCTCAAGGTAATGTCTACTTATGTGTACAGACCTTTCCCCAGCTGCCTGCTGTTGTTGTTTGTCTCACAAGGTCTGGAGAAGATGCCACCAGAAAAGTTAGACTCTGTTGCAGAAGAAGCCTATTTTTTCTCTCTCATCAGGTAGAGTTTTTGTAGGGCTGGACTTCCCAAATGGGTTTATGTTCATGTACTATGACATCTGGCTGTGGCCATGGTAGTGTCAACAAGAAGTCCTAGGATGGTACATGTTCTCCACTTCTCCCTATTCCTATTTCTACTGTTGAATGATAAAGGTAACTGCTACTTATCTGTATCCTTTTGGCTGGATGTGTGCAATATTTGGGGTTGGTTAGCCATATTTAGGGAAGATCCACAGAAACCAAAGGGACCCAAGTTAGAACTGGTGATATACATTGTAGTGTAACAGTTTGATTATTGGACTCCAGGAAATCAGGGCTCAAATCCATGTCATGCTCAGTCAGCCTGAGAGGAAGGCAATGGCAGACACATACACCCAGAACAAATCTTGCCAAGAAAACCTCATGATGGGTTCACCTTAGGGGTTGCCATAAATAGAAAACAACTTGAAGGCACACAGTAAGTTAAACATGACCAATTCAATTTAATAGGACATACGTTCAGTTAATTAAGTCTGAACGCAATCCCTGTTGAAGTTATTCAGTCTCTGAAATGCCAAAAATTTAAACACTTTTATAAACATATTTACCATTTGCATCCAGCTTGGATATATATAGACAGTGCTCCATATGTAGTATCTTAAAAGTTCATGTCTAAATCAATAAAGAGTTAGCCCAGCACTTATTTTTGCTTCTCTTTTAATCTTTTCAAAGGATGAACATTACTAGAGCAAACACAAATAATAAAATTTGAAATAATAAAACATGAAACTTGAGGTGCCATATGTGTGAATGTTCTGTTGCATCTCAAGATTGCCATGGGGGAAGTGAACACACAAGTTGAAACCAGAGACTGAGGGAGAGCTGGAGTGCAATGTTATAATTCCCAGAGACTTAGGGCCTTTGCAGACTGCCAGAAATAGTGCACATTAAATTGAGGCACTGCCCTGGCTCAGTGCTAGGGAATCATGGGAACTGTAATTTATTGTGGCACCAGAGCTCTCTGACAGAGAAGGCTCAATGTCTCAGAAAAAAATACAATTCCCATGACTCCCTAGCACTAAGCCAGGGCCATGCCACTATTTCTGGCAGTCTGCAAAGGCCCTTAGTGCAGAAAGAACATGTTATGCTGCAATTAGTTTAAATCATTGTATATCTCTTCCCTGTAGCCATGAGCCATAAAGAAAAAGGAAGAAACAGTCATGTTTAACATAGATCTCATTTCCATGACATCCGTTTGCATACTGATTGCCATGAAGAGAGTTTCCAGTTTCTATACATTGCATTGCTCATGTGTCTGAGCAATATCCAACTGTCCCACTCTGTAAGGCAATGAAATTAGCAATGATAACAACTAATTTTACAAAAGAACCCATGGAAGGCCAGAATGTGTTGTTGAATAGGTAAAAGAAAGTGAGGAGAAGGCCAGGCAGCTGTAAGTGTGTGTATGTGTGTAAAACAAAAAAGAGCCTCTCTCTTTGCTAATCTTGCTTTTAATTAACTATTCACTAATATCACTTCCTGATGTGAGATATAACTTATGCATTTGACTTTTTTTGTAAGTTATCTCCTCAGGCAGCAAAAGCAGATACCTTAATATAGTTGTTAGGAAGCTGGCATATACAAGTTAACATAAGAGACATAAAC